CACCCGCGGCGAGGAGAGGAGAGGAGAGGAGAGGAGAGGAAGAAAAAAAGAAAGAAAGAAACATTTGCTTTGTTCACCCAGTCCAGAAAATATTTGTTGACGAAAGGAAGGAAGTCAGAGTGGGAAGAGATGTTATCCCTGCTCGAAGGGAATCTAAGATCTACTCCAGGGCTCGCTCTCTCGCTCTCTCTCTCTCGCTCTCTCTCTCCCCTAAGAAGTCAAGTCCCTCTCAGGCTAGTAAGGCCTCCCTGCTGCCTTGCGGGTGGGAATCTATAGCCCCTGGGGATGTGAAATGAGGGTGAAGGCTCCTCACTGAATGGCTGTGAGAAGCAAATGAATCTCCCCACACTCTCCTCCTGACCAAGGGGCATGCTCTGGGTCTCGCCCCAACCGCAGCCCGTGGAGGGGAGCAGGCAGGCACTCTGCACTCAGAGCCAGCCGGCTGGCTCTGTGACTCAAGCCCAGTGGCTGGCACGGAAGCACCCTGGGGCTGGCAGGCGCTACCGAGTCGGCATTAGCGAGGGAAGGCTGGGATCTCCACCAGCCTTGCTGGGTCCTGACCGCTGGGCCTTCCGTTGCCCCCACCGGTGGAGGAAACAGCTGCAGGGCTGTGGTCTCCCCAGCTTCCAGGTCAGTTCAAGGTCAGCCACAGCGCCCGGGGCTGGGAGCACTGGGTCACTGTAGTCCCCACCTGACCCTTTCTGTTCATTCCAGAGGTTTATGGAGCACCTACAGGATATCATCTTAGTGGTGGGCTGGGGGGCAGAGATACAGGAAGAGCTTGACCTGAGGGCCCAGTGAGGGGGGGGGGGGGAGCACATAATTACAGAGTCTGTGTAAGAGGCACTGCGAGTCAAGTGTGGGGACTCTGGGCCCAGCCAGCCTGATCTCATTTTGAAACCTGGCCTGGCCACTTGCTGGCTTGTGACTTTGAGGAAGCTGCTTAACCTCTCTGAGCCTCAGTTCCTCACTGGGTAATAACATTATCAAACTTGTAAGATGATGATGTGAATCAGAGATAACAAAGGTCTACCCCACAGCTCATGGATTCATGGTGTTACTGGTGTCTGTAGTGGAGACGGGAGGGGGAGGAAATGTGTGGGGGTGGGGGCAGGAGGCAGCAAAAGGTGAAGTGGCAGTTAAGCAGGATCAGGAGGAATGACCCCTTGAGCTCACCAGAAAGAGGGCATGGCCGTAGAGGGGCTGTGGGAACAAAGCACAGGCAGTGGGGCAGAGGGCTGCAGGGGTGGGAAGTGCGGGCAGGTAGGCTGGAGTGTGCCTTCACCCTGCAAGTACGCCTCTGCGGGCAAGTCTGCAGGAAAGTGGAAGACGATCTGTTTCCTGGCCTCAACACTAGGCAACACGAATTCATGGGATGAGAAAGTTACTCTCTCTTCAATTTTCACTCAAGCCTTTGACTCCATCAAGGGGAAAAGTCTCAACTTTAAAAAAAAATTTAAATGTATGTTTATTTTTGAGAGAGAGAGAGCAGAGAGAGCAGAGAGAGACAGAGACACAGAATCCGAGGTAGTTTCCAGGCTCCGAGCTGTCAGCACAGAGCCCAACACAGGGGCTCGAACCCACACACCGCAAGATCATGACCTGAGCTGAAGTCAGACCCTTAACCGACTGAGCCACCCGGTCGCCCTAAAAAGTCTCAACTTCTAATCCTAATACCTGTGATCCTCACAGGCCTCAAAGGGACTGCTTTTTGCTAGCAACTGTAACCACAAGAGTTCTGTAACGTTGCTATGTTTCTGTTTTTATGATTAGGTTCTATTCCCAGTAAGAGGCTCTTGCTTACAAGGTTGGTAACAATGTTCCTTGTAAAATACACTTAAAAATGAGTCACCTAAAGGAAACACTAAGGAAATTGAAGGTACAAGATGAGGTGCAGAAAGGGAAAAATTGCGAACGTTGTACTCAAAAGACCGATCTTCAGGAAATACTGTTGAGGGCACCTGGGAGTCACCCGAATTCTAAACCAGGGAGGGCTGGGGCCAAATCTGAGTCCTGGGAAGACAACTACGACTGAAGGGAGGCGCCAGGTGTTGGGGCCTGGTCAGCAGTCAATCCAGGCGGCAAATGAGACAGGTCTGCCCTAGGGCAGTGGGCTTCAGAAGGACCTGAGGGGAGACACCCTGGGCACAGACAGGCTGCGGTTTGTGACCTGCTGTGTGGTGGCGGAAGGAGACACAGCCTTTATGTCCATTCTGTGAGCCGTAAACGTGTCTACATTAGCATCTGTCACTCAGATCTGGATGTTTCTATCGTCTCCCATCAGACTGGGAGCAATGTTGGCACCTCCTACCTCTTTTCCAACTTCCCAAAGTGCCTGGACTCTGTATGGCCCTGTGGGATGACCCAGCTACAGGGCTTGCCAGCTGACAAGTCAACATCTCAGACCCGGGTGACCAGCCACCCCGGTTCGCCTGTGCCTGAGGGGTTCCCCGGACACGAGACTGGAAGGAGCTGGTCACCCCACTTCAGACGGTCCTTGAAAGGCAGGAGCCTTGGGCTAGAACCTGTTGGGCTGGAGTGGCTGGCCTATGGGGCCAAAGCAAGAAGCGCACAGTCCGCATGGGCCCCGGTGAGCATCAGTTCATGTTTATGTGGACAGCACCATCCACCTCAAAGTAGGTCTCCAACCTTCTGGAAAAGGCTCAGTGACCTTTGTCCTTTTCAAGAAAATGTATTTCACCCTGATTAGAAACCTCCTGGCCACACCCTCAAATTTGGCTCCTGTTCAAGTTTCAGAGTTCAGAGGCCTCAAAGATGTCACTTTCCAGGCTTAGCAGCTGTTCCCAAAGGAAAGTCTCTAACCCTGACATTTAGGGTCCCGTGGGACTAACTCCACCCCATTCTCCAACCAGAATTTCTCTAATTCTCTGAAGTATTACTCCTTTTCCAGCCAATATGGCCTGCTCAGGGTTCCATGCCTGTCCTTGCTCCTTCCCACTCTGTTCTCTCCTCCTATGTTCCATCTGCCTGGAGGCTCCCTTCACACATATTCCTGGGCTTGAACTCTACCCAAACTTTAAGCTTTGGCTCAAGGCACCTCTCCATGAAGCTTCCCCATATCCTCCAGGCAGAAGATACTCCTGTTTCTCTGATCCACCTCCAAAGCCTGATCTCACCTGTAGCAGCTGGTTAGGCATTCTACCTGGGACTGAGCTAGCCTAGAAACCATCGGAAGGCAGGGTTCACCTGAGATTCATTTTTGGCCTCCCACCTCCACCCCTGTAGTCAGGAGCCAGCATATAGAATTAACACATAAATGATTAAACTGTAATGCCTAACTGGGAGAAGTTCCAACTGTCTCTCCATCAGGCACCTAGGGACATCAAGGAGGGCCTCTACAGAGGCTCAGCCATTCAGCCAATATCCCTGGACCCTCCACTTGGCAGACTAGGTAAACAAGACCTCACTGTCCAGGAAAGGCTGCCGGGCCTGCCCGACAATTCTGTAACCACCACCATGCAGCACAGGGCCAAGAAAGGAAGGACACGGAGCTCTTGGAAGGTGTCGTGGAAGGTCTGGCCCAACTGGGGTCATGAAGGCTGCTCAGAGGACGGAATACCTGGGCCGAGACATAAGAATGAAGATGGTGTGGCCACAGAAGACGGGGAATGCATCCCTGTGGCCATCTCAGAAAAGAAAGCAAGGCATTTGGGAATCAAGGCACACAGTCCGTCTCCACGCCTCCACTCCCTGGCCACGTGATCCCCCTGCCTCAGTTTCTGCATCGGCACAGCCGGGCCGCTGAGAGGATCTGTGGGGATAATGGATGGAAAACACTCACTACACGCAGCCAAGCGGTCCCCAAACATGGGGGATTACAGTTGTCATTATTGCCCACACGACTCACAGGAGGCCAGAGGATTCCAGGTGGCCAGATCCCCAAGCTCAGGCTGGACTGGACAATAATCCTGCCTCACGATTAGCCCTGAGTTGGAGGCAGGAGAAACGGGTTGCCACAGAGCCTCCCCTGTGGCCAGGTGGACCGCCCAGGTCCGACTGCAGCAATCTGAAGGAGCAGAGTTGAGTCTAAGAGGCCAAGTGGTGAGTGGTCCAGTGGGGCAAGGGGGAAGGAAGCTGGATGCAGGCCGAGGAAGACAGCAATCGAGGGCGTGGCCGAAGACAGGCCTGGGCAGAGGGATGAGCCGAAGAACGAAGAGCAAGAGAACATCCTCACCCTTCCTGCCCACCCTCCCGAGCTGTGCCAGAGAAGCAGTGAAATGACTCCCAGTGATGGATGCAGCAGCTCTGACATTAACAGGCCACCGGGTCTGTTCAAGGCCAGTCAGACGTTTAAAAGCCTGTCTGAAAGCCACCCTGTGAGGGGAAGGAGCCAACCACAGACCGGAAACCCGGTGTGCAAAGAGCCATGTCACTTCTCCCCAGGAAGGAGCGAGGGTGCAGCAAGCTGAGATTAAGGCCCAGCACCCAGCCTCCCAGGGGGACCCACACAGTGGTCTGGGAGGAATCAAGGGCTATCTGCGGTGCCTTGGGAGCACAGGTTCTTTCTGGCCACAATGGCCTTCCTGCTGTTCCTTACACATACCAGCTTGGGGCGCCTGGGAGGCTCAGTTGGTTAAGTATCCGATTCTTGATTTTGGCTCGGGTCGTGATCTCACGGTTCGTGGCATTAAGCCCCGCGTCGGGCTCTATGCTGACAATGTCAAGCCTGCTTGGGATTCTCACTCGCTCTCTTTCTGCCCCTCCCCTGCTCATGCTCTCTCTCTCTCTCAAAATAAATAAATAAACATTAAAAGCAAACAAACAAACATACCAGCTTGTTCACCACTTCAGGCTTTTGCTTTTACTGTTTCCAGACTGTGCGTTACTGGCTCCATCACGCCATTCAGAGCTCCTCTCAAGTACACCTCCTCCTACAGGGTTTCCCAGATCACCTACTCTAAACTCCCCACTCCCCACACCTACTGTGCTTTTCCCCTAGAAGCCCACAGAGTTCAATCCCTTGTCTCTTCAGGTCTTTGCTTCTTTGCTCAGAAGTCACGTCCTTCACAAAGTATTCCCTGACCACCCAGTTTAAAATCATACACCCTCCCCCCCCCCCCCAGCTCTTATCCTCCGTCCCTACTTTACTCTCCCCTGACGTCCTAGATATTTGTTAACTGTCTTTCTCCTCCCACTGGAACATCAGCTCCGAGAGCGCAGGGCATTACTGTCCTATTTGTTCACTACTGTATCGTCAGCATCTAGAAAAGGGTCGGGCACATAATAGGGGTTCGACAAATGATGAGTGAATGAGTGTATATGAATGTTTAAGAGCCGGGCCTCTGGTCAGACTGTATGAGATCTCATTCCAGCTCTTCCACCTCCTGTAATGATCTTGGACCACTTACTTTACTCCTCTGAGACTTAATTTAATCAGTAAAAGGAGAGCAACAACAGTCCTGGTCTCATAGGATTATTGGGGGATTAAATAAGATCATGCATGTAAAGAGGTGAAGACACTGCCTGACCCCCAGCGAGCACTCAGTACTAAGCTGACGGCCATGGTAGCCTTCATCGGCTAGCATTTCTTACTTGCTCCTCTGTTCCCTTGTTTATCATGCGTTTCCACCCTAGGGTCGACTCCAGCCTGCCTCACTCACTACCGTGCCCTCAGTTCCTGGCAAGGTGTGGGAAGAGAAAATCGGGCCTCCTCTCAAACCAAGGAATGTGGAGGCGGGAGACGCAGCTTCAGCTGGAGTAGGAGCCTCACCGATTTGTTTCTCTAGAGCGGCTGCCTCACAGACGGTGGCCCGGGGCAGGATCCCAGGGTCGGTGAAGCTGGTCTGCAGCAGGCAGCTCATGACGAAGAAGAAGAGGATGGCAGCGATGATGGGGATGGCGAGGGTCAGCTGGCGGGCCAGGAAGGGACAGCTAGAGAGAGAGAGAGAGGGAGAGAGAGATGAGCAGATACCCCAAGGGCTCCCTGGAACACAGGGCTACAGCACTAGACAGGTGTCATGCCATCAACACTACTCCGCATTCTGGCACACAGCCTTTCCCTGAGGAAGAGGGACAGCTCCTAGGTGAGCGAAGCCACTCCTCCAAGAGTGCCTGGAGCAGACATCACTAATTGATCTTTGCACTTTCCCTCTGAGCCAGGAGCAGACATGATCAATAGAGCCCAGAACTTTTTTTTTTTTTTTTTTTTTTTTTAAATGAGCTAAGGACAGAGGTCTAGATCCCAGCACTCTTAACCCCGGCACTTAGCTGCTGCTTCAGAATCCTTCTAAACACAGAGCTTCAGGCAGCCGCTACCAATGAACTAGGCAGTCACTTGAGTTGACCGTCCACGACAATGTTCACTTATTCATTCATTCAGTTACTCCACAAATATTTAGCGAGGTCTCACATATGCCAGGCAATACCATCAACAAACAGCAGGAATAATGGCAGTGAATAAGAGTGTTGTTTCTCCGCCTGTCATGAGGCTGCGGTCTAGTGGGGAAAAGACAGGTAAACAGAGAGAGGTGCTACACAGGGCTTTGTGTGCTAACATGGGAGAGAGGAAATCAGCAGAACAGTCAGGAATATCTGGCTGGGGGCGATAACGTCTAAGCTAAAATCTGAAGAATAAGTAGGGGTCAGCCACGTGCAGGGGGTTAGGGGAAGAGCATGGTCTATGCACTGCCACTGTCATCCCAGGGCTGGCATCCCAAGCCCATGCTTTCAGGTCCCTGACCCCAGTTGGTTTGGAGGACAGCCTGTGCTCAGGCTGACCCTGAGGCCTGCCCAAACTATTAACCGCTGTCCTACGCTGCCTTCCCTCCCAGAGCTAGAGTGGCACCTGATGGGGTGAGGAGCTGCTACTTGGGAAATGACAGGCTGCTGGGAGGCCAGAATCAGAAGAGGCTCCAGGAGCTGGCACAGTCACAGAAAGCAAACCTGTGGACACATACTCTGTTTCCACAGCCTCTACTCCCAGAAGCTCTGGCCTCCAGAGAGGCCCTTCCCTTGAAGAGCAAAGACTGCCAGGTCCAACGGCTCCAACTGGGCCACATTCCGCCCCAAACATCTCAGTGGTCCCTGGGTTCAAGACTCAAAGCTGGGCCCTCTGTGTCACCCACATGCCAATCAACCAGTTCATGTATAACCAGACTTTTGGGGGGACGGAGACGAAGTCTGAGACTTGTAGAGCACTCAGAAACACCAAGTGCTAGCTCCCTGATTTTACAGAGGGGGGCTCTGAGGCCCACAGCCACATTCAAGGTCACCCTGTCGGCCAAAGACAGGACTGGGGCCCCCGGGCCCTCATCAGCTACTCTCTCTGTTCATTCAACAAATATTTACTGTCCTGAATGCCTACTACCCACCAGGCCCAGTTCTAGGCACCAAAGACAAAACAGTGTGGAGAACGAAGCCCTTCTGTGGCGAAGAGACAGGCAACAAACTAGCAGAAAGTATAGGCATAGTATGTTCAGATGGTGGCAAGTGCTTCCAGAAAACAAGTAGTCAGGGAAGAGGGGATAGGAGAGAGGGGAGTGGTTTGTTCACTTATAGGGGCAGTTAGGGAAGGAGGGAAAAAAAGTGAAGGAGTGAGCCATGAGACTATCTAAAGGAAGGGTATTCCAAATGGTGCAAAGGCCCTGAGGCAGGAATAGGCAAAGAGGCCAATGTGCCTGGAGGAGGACGCACAGGGGGATAGTGGGGGGAGATGGACGGAGAGGAAGACTTTGGTTCTTATCCCAGAAAGCCAGGGAGAACTCCAGGGGGAGCCTGGGATCTGACTTAGAATTAAAGGGGCACTGTGGCCTCCATGTGGGGTGGGAAGTGGGGCAGAAGCCAGATACCCTGCTGAGAGCCCTGTGCAATAATTTACCCAACCAAACAATGAAGCAAAACCATTCTCAGCAGGAAAAGCCCTAGAGAGCCACGCTACCTTTTTCCAGAGCAATGGAAGAGTGTGAGCTCACTCACTCTCCAGCGTTCCCACACCCTGGGTCCCTACCGAGGTAACACCCCAGTCTAGACCCAGGGGAGGTCTGAGCCCAAACCCCAAACCCTCCTGCCAACTCCACCAGCCCAAGTGAAGAAGGGCAGAGACAAGGCAAGATGATTCACAAGCCCTCCCTGAACCCAGAAGTCCTCTTTTCTCCCTTCTCTGGGGGACAAATCTGTCATCAGTCAAGATACCCACGCAACCCAGAGAAGATCCTGCTTCTGAACTAACCGAATCCCACGCCTCAGTGTCACAGGGCTGGGGGCGGGGGGGGGCGGGCGGCGGGGGGAAGAGGGCGGTCAACTTCCTCCCGCTCAGGCTGCAGCCCTGGGGGTACTGGAAAAGGAACTTTCAAAACACTCATGCGGGTCGTGTCGGGTCAGCTCAGCAAGGTGGATCTGAAACTCAGCCCAAGGAACACACTGGAGGCTGGGGGCTCCCCAGAGCTCCTGCGTGTTATATTTTCCTGGAACTTTTCATCCACCCTGACTCAGAAAGGAAGGGTGAAAGGGAGAAGCTAATTTGTAGGAAGTCCTCACCTTGCTTCAAGGGGAAACCCAAGGTTGCAGATACATGATCTGGCAGCTGGAGAGGGTACCTGGCGGTGGCGTCTTTGTGGCAGCCTTAGCACGGCCACAGGCCCTAAGGACGTGTTTTATGGTGAAGAAAACAGCTAATAACAGCAGCCAGCATTAAGTGCTTGTTACTGGTTAAAACCTTACACACATGACATAGTGCCACCCTCATGACAACCTATTATAAACCCCATTTTATAGATGACGAAAGTAGGGCTCCAAGGTGAAGGGACTATCCCAGAGTCACGTGGATAGTGTGTGGTGGGGCTGGGATTTGAACCAGGTCTGTTGGCTCCAGAGATGGAGTTCTTAACCACACCGCACAATTAAGCAAGACCACAAAGGATGGGGGAGAACCCGGAGGGGAAGCTGTGTGGGTGAGTGTGAGTGTGTGTGCAAGGGATCACACAGCAGACGGCTCAAGCTAGAGACCAAAGGTGGAGTGCAAAACTTCTGGGAAGTGACAAGCATTCCTCCTCCAACCAGAAAAGGGAGCTACTGTGTGGGCCTACCCTGGGTCACGGGGGGGATGTGAAGAGGTCAAAACCCCACAGGGGCAAACAGGACCTATCACACCAAAGCACTGCGGACTCTCTTGAAAAATAACAAGGCACTGCAGCTGTTCCTGCCATGGGACAGGCCAGAGGTTTGCTCCAGAATGGTGAGAATGCAAAGAAAGGCAGGGGTACATGGGGAGGGGGACAGGGACCTGCCAGAGTCAGAGGGAAGGACTGGAACCACTGGGGAAACTAAGGAAGGTACTGGAGAGGGAAGGGAGGCCTAAGAGGCCCAAAGCAGTCTGGGAAGATTGCCTGAGGGCCTAGAGGGAGAATGACTGAGGTGAAAGGAAGGGGGAAGGGTCTGAGAGTAAGAGATGACAGGGGACCCCAGAAGGGACCCTGGTGGGACACAGAGGCAGCTGGGAGAATTGTGATGGGTAGTATAAAGCCAAAGGACACAGAAAAGATCGAGAAGTTGTCTGGAAGGGATATAAAGCAAAGATGCCTCAAGGGGTCAGAAAGAAGCGGGGGCTGGCCAAGAGATGGTCCAGCAGAGAGGTGAGGGCCAGGGGATCCGGGAGGCCTGAGCCAGGTTCTGAGAGGGAAGAGAGGATGGGTCGGTGCAGGGACTGGCAAGTATGGGCCTCCTGGCAGAGGCTGGCAAAGGCAGGGTGCCAGGGAAAGGCAGGGAGGGACAGGAGACAGGCCAGAGGATGGGGCGATGGGGCCCCGTGTGGACAGAGCATCCAGATGGATGGAGGAAGGACAGTAGGGGTGGGGTTGGGGCGGTGGGTGGTGAGGGCCAGGGAGGGCCGATGAGAGACACGCGAGGGGACTGGAAAGGCCTGGGGGCAGATCCTGAGCGGGCGAGGACGCAGGCCCGGGAGGAGCAGGGAGGAGAGAGTGCCTGGCAGGTGCAGGGAAGGGTGGAGCGCCCGAGGAGGTCGGAGTGGACCGGGCGCCCAGCGGGAGACCAGAAGGGCGGGAGTGCTCGCCGAGGAGCCGGGCGGGTGGAGTGCGCGGCAAGGGGCGGAGGGGACCGGAGGGATGGGGGCGCCCGAGGGGGCGGGGCCGGGGGCACCGCGGGACTCACTCGAAGACGAAGAAGAGGATGGTGGTGGTGAGGATGAGCAGCAGCGTGAGTGCGAAGACGCCGCCGTGGCCGGCCAGCATGAGGCGGCCGCCGCAGTAGAAGCGGTTGCGGCCCGGGAACACCTCCCACTTGCGCCGCGGGCGGCGGCCGATGCTCCCGCTGCCGCTGCCGCTGCCGCTGCTGCTCCAGCGC